GAGAGTAGATGAGCATCCTCCAGGCAGCCAAATACTTCCGAGTGAGAAATCCTTCCTTCCACATGAAATGAGCAATAGTTTTGCCAGGGGATCCTTTGGGGACAAGTTTCCTCTTGAGAATGAGTGAATTTGTACATCCTCCAGCCCTCAGTGATGGACCTAATGATGAATCTGCTGCCCAGAAACCAAGAACTTAATTAAGTCACATTCCCATTTATTTTTTTTCCCTTCATTTTTAACAATTTTTTTTCCCCTTAAGAATCCTCACAGAATCAAACTGGACAGTCCCTTTTGTCCTTTGCAGGGACAGAAAGTAGCAAAATTTGCCTGATTCTGAGCAACAAATTAATTAAAAAAAAAATCCAGGCTATTAAACCACCACACAGATTAAAACATCTTTTCCTGCCCTAACGCCCTAACCCTCAGCTCCATTTAGCAAAGCAACAAATCACAGATAACAGACCATAATTATCCTTCCATTTGCAGTTCCCAAGCAATCGTGACCCAAGCATCTCTAGTGGGGTGCAAAAGCCACAGTGATTGAGGCACATTTCTTGTGAAATGCCTCCAACTGAATGGAAAACGTGAAAACAGACCTGGCAGATGTTTAGTGTACGTTCAGTAAGGAGCTCTTAGACATCAATACTCCTAATGTGTCACAATGTGTCAAAATAAATTATTATTATTATTGCCATTGCTGTAATTATTATTTAGATAAATTTGACCGTATACATACTCATCCCCCTTTCTCTTAATTTTAGAGTAAATTATGAATTATTAACAAAACCTAGAATTATTAAGTTATGTGTTAGGTATTTTGATGCTTGTTTTAGTTTGGGCTTTTATAACAATGGCATTAAGCAGAGGTTTTTCCACCATTAAAAACTTATCAAAAAAAACCAAAAAAACTATGGCAGTCAGATAAAAGTAGTTTCATAATGTAGCTCTCTATCAAGGAGTAAGATATGACACCTGAATGAGCAGGGATGAGAATTTCAGGGTCTCTCCAGAAAAACTGAAGTATTTGTATTTAACAAATAATTTTTTATTTAACAAATTAATCAATTTGTATTTAACAAAAGAGCAGAAAACAAGAGTCCCTGCAGCTGCCTATTTCTGCAGGACCCCTTCTGAGGAAATATTTCTCAGCACAGCAGCCACACTGACTTTAAATCCTCTGTGTGGTGATGCTTCTGCCTTTTTTTTGGGAGATGGAATGGTTTAGCTTGTCGTGAGAAGTTCAGCCCTGAAATTATTAATCTGGCCACTCTGGAGATGAGTTTGCAGGGGGACACAATCACTGAGCTGCAGTGAGTTACATAAACAAGGCTTGAACAACCCAGGAGTTTTATACTCACTCCTAGTTTGCCTTCTGCAGCTAAAAGTGCAAGCCTAAGGAGACAGATAATAAATTGGGAGAGCAAAAGGTGGGCAGAGAATAAAACACCAGCAAAGCAGTGGGGTGAAGGGTAAACATTCTGCCACGAAGCTTCTGAAAAAATTTAAAAAAATCTGCCTTTTTTCCCCATATATTTGTGCCCGCTCCATTACAATCCAAACAGCGTTTCAGCAGCCACGACAGACACAGGGATTCTAGAACTTGTTAGTGCTGTGGAAAAGTACCAAACACCTTTCTGTATGCAAAGCATTCCCTAAGAACAGAACAAGTTCAGCACCGAGGGAGCTGGGAAAGTCTCCTCAGGGATGCTCTGAGCAGCCTCTCTCAGTGGTGCCACAGCTCACCCTGACCAGACACTGTCAGCAAAGATGACTTTCAAGTTATGGATAGCAAAAAAAAAAAAAAAAGAGTTTCTCACTGCTGCATTTACATCTCTTTCAGCAGAGCTGTTCCACTTCTGTCCTGATGTGGAAAATTCACTCCAAAATCCTGTTGACTGCAGTGTGTGTGCTGAAGCACAGATGGTATGGGATTGGCTGGACGTGACAGGAGCAGAGGAAATGGAAACAAGGAAACACAAGCCAACAAACAAATTCCCCTCCTTGACTTAAAGATTGTGGCTGCGCTCTCTGGGCCAAGGAAAGGGGTGAAATAAAATTGAGCATCTCCGCTGCCTTCCACATCCTCAGATCAGTTTTCCTCTCCTGGGAGCAGTGGCAAATAAGCAATTTCTCTGTTAAAAACAGGACCAACTGCAAGACCTGATATTTCTGCAGGTTTCCCCACCAGGCATGAGCTGCAGCATGATTCTGCCCTGAGTTCACTTTTTTTCTCAGCTCTTCTTAACTCAGATACTCTGCTTTCATTAAAAGATAATCTGAGCTAATTTAGGAATTAGACTGTTTGTACTAAGTGTGCTCAGAAGGAAGGAAAGGCAAACAAAATCTGCTACATTGGAATGAATCAGCTCGGGGACACGGGGCTCAACTTAGCGAAGGCACAGGCACATATGGAACTCAACCCCAGGAAAAAAATATCTCCAGGATGCTGTCTCAGTCAGCCAAATGAGGAGAGATGTGATGAACAAAGGTCTGAATGTGCTCAGCAGCGCAGCCCACAAGCTCAGAAATCTCAGGTTTTCTCTTTCCTTGGTAGCATCCCACAACAGAGCTCCTGCCTCGCTGTTTTGTGAGCCTCACAAACAGCAGCAGCTCTGGGCAGCTCTGTGGGGCTGAGGCACCACCGTGCCAGCAGCAGAATTCCTAAACCCACAGTGAGGAAACACCTCTAAGAGCAGAATTCCTAAAGCCACAGAGAGGAAGGAACTCCAGCAGCTGAATTCCTAAAGCCATAATGAGGAAAGACCCAGCAGCAGAATTCCTAAATTCATAATGAGGAAAGAGCCCCAGCAGCAGAATTCCTAAACCCAAAGCAAGGAAAGAGCCCCAGCAGCAGAATTCTTAATCCCACAGTGAGGAAAGAGCCCCAGCAGCAAAATTCCTAAACCCATAAAGAGAAAAAAGCCCAAGCAGCAGATTTTCTAAACCAACAGTGAGGAATGAGCCCCAGCAGCAAAATTCCCAAACCCAGAGCAAGGAAAGAGTTCCAGCAGCAGAATTCCTAAAGCCATAATGAGGAAACATCCCCAGGAGCAGAAATCCTAAAACCACAGAGAGAAAGGAACCCCAGCAGCAGAATTCCTAAAGCCATAGTGAGCAAAGAGCCCCAGCAGCAGAATTCCCAAACCCACAGTGAGGAAAGGGCCCTCCAATTTCCTGCAGGGATCCCCACTGATGATGGAAATCTAAAGCCAAGGAGGGAGCACAAAGCCTGTTTAAAGAGAAATAAGTGTATTTATCCCACAAAAAGCCCCCTCCTCCTGACCTTGAAGGCTGTGGTTATCCTCCCAGCCATTCACACGTCTGTGGTTGGAGAGAACAAAACAGCGGAAATCTTGAGATAAATGCCCGGGACAAAATGAGATCAATTGGAGCTGTCCTGAATGACAGCAAAGCAGCAACCCTGGCCCACAGCACATGGAAACAGGTGGGAATAAAAGGGGAAGACCACAACCCACACACAAGCAGACTCATCAACTCTAATCCATCAACTCTAATCCAACTCCCCTTATTGCCCTGACCAGCATTCCTTAATTATTCACCAAATTCGAATATTGCCTTACCCATCCTACAGGACAAGTTCCTCCCAGCCAGCTCCAGGCTGTCTGGCATCAGCCAAAGAGATGCTTGTATAACACGCTCTTTCTCTGCAGCTACACCAGGAGCACTTTCAGGAGTTTGCCTCTGTGCTATCATTAACCTCCAGCAATCAAACATTCCCCTGGATTATCCATGGAAACATTTCCCTGCTGTACCTGGCCAGGGCTGCATAGGCTGGGCAGAGCAGTGAGGGGGCTGTGTACCCAAATAACAGCAATTGCAAACCCGTTTGTTGTTTTTCTTTACTCCAACAGATGAAATAGAAAAATCCAACATGCTGCTTCAGTTACATATTGCTGTACCAGTCCACCACACACACTGTAATTAACATGCACCAGACGGATGGTAATTGATAATTCCCTGAGAAAGAATCACATCACTTTGCTGCCCTTATTCACTTTAGTTAAGATTTTCTCCTTATTACAGCTACCTCCAATACATCCTTCAAGCTAAAGGCCAGATTCTGTTTACCTGCAGATCAGATGCAGAAGAAATCCACTGACTTCCAGGGAGTTCTTCCAGATCTGCTGCTGTGTAAGTGGGATGATCATGTAGCCATAAACACCGGCGTGCCACTAATCAAATCTCCCTTTTTTCCCCCAGTTCTGCACAGCAAGCTGCATTACCACATTCTGGCTGCAAACTCCTCAGATTCCAACACATACCTGAACGCTTCCCATCCTAAATTCAGAGCACAGCGGGAGGGAAGGAGCCTGTCCTGCGTGCCATCCCCCTGACCGGAGATGTGCTCGGCATGAAGATGGTATTATTAGAGCCAGCTGCTCAAACACCGATAAGGAGAAGTGCCCAGAGGTCAAAGGCACACGAACCCGCAGTTTCTCCCTCCTACCCCACAGTAAAACCAAGCAAGTCCTGCTGCACCGCTCGGAGGCTGAATCAGAGTTCCTGCGGCAGGTGAGGATGAGGATGCAGAGAGCTGCATCGGGAAACGCCGACAGCAGCGGCGGGGCTCTTAGCAATCAGGTTTTATTTACCAGCCATATTGTGTTAAAAACCAGACGTGATTCCCATACCGAGCGCCTCAACCTGTCACCGCCAGCTAAGCGAGATTGATTTGTTTGCAGAGAACCAAATCTGGAGGACGCATCCTCCGAGCCCTCATGAAGAAGAAGTGTCCCCAGGAGCTGGGGACGAGCGGTAAATCAGCGATCAATGCCAGCCAAGCCGGCGGTTCCTGTGGCATCCTCGGGGGATGGGGATGCCCCGGGAGGAGCTGGGGAAGGACTCACCATTGCAGCAGGGCTCGGTCCCGGCGC